GTAATACTGTGATGCATTTTCTTATTACTAGTATTTTGTTATGATTTTAATAAAATTTTTGTAATATATTTTAATTTGAAAGATATATATGGATATAAAACATTACTTGAATTATATATTTTAAGGTTTATTAGATTGGTAAGAGAACAACTTTAATTCAAATTATCTATATTTTGTTATTACTAGTATTTTGTTATGATTTTTGTAATGCTACTTTTGCATGGTTAGTTAATATAATTTGTTTATGATATCATCCACAATATTTGATATAAATATATTTATTTTTTTGTTATTACTAGTATTTTTTTTATGATTTCAATAAAATTTTTGTAATATGCTTTAATTTGAAAGAAATATATAGATATAAAAAATTACTTTAATTATATAATTTAAGGTTTATTAGATTGGTAGAAGAACGACTTTAATTCAAATTATCTATATTTTGTTATTACCAGTATTTTGTTATAATTTTTGTAATGCTGTTTTTGCATGGTTAGTTAATATAATTTGTTTATGATATTATCCATAATATTTGATATAAATATATTTATTGTTTTGTTATTACTAGTATTTTTTTTATGATTTATATAAAATTTTTTTAATATATTTTAATTTGAAAGATATATATAGATATAAAAAATTACTTTAATTATATATTTTAAGATTTATTAGATGGGTGGAAGAATAATTTGATTTAAAATATCTATATTTTGTTAAAACTAGTATTTTGTTATGATTTTTGTAACGTTACTTTTGCATGGTTAGTTAATACAATTTGTTTATATAATAGCATCCATAATATTTGATATAAGTATTGTTTTGTTATTACTAGTATTTAATTTGTTATGATTTTAATAAAAATTTTGTATTATATTTTAATTTTAACGAAATATATAGATACAATAAATTACTTTAATTATTTGTTTTTAGATTTATTAGATGGGTAGGAGAACAAATTTAATTCAAATTATCTATATTTTATTATTACTAGTATTTTGTTATGATTTTTGTAACGTTATTTTTGCATGGCTAGTGAATATAACATGTTTATATAATATCATTCATAATACTTGATATAAATATAATTAATTTATTGTTTTGTTTATATATTTGTGAATAAAAGTAATAGAAATTTGCCATAAAAAATAACTTGGTGGTAATTTGCTTCGATGAAAAAAGTTTATAAGAAACTTTGCTACGAAAATAATTATAGATAAATATATTTTTATCTTTTTTGTTATATTTTGTGGAAAATTGTGTGACAATTTTAATATGTAATTATTTCGTAGCAAATTTTTATAACTGAATGAATGTTTTCTTGTAGCGCATTTTCAGAAGAGATCTTTGGAGACTCATACCATATATAGTGTCTTTGCTTCACCAACAATTTACTTTCGGCATTAGACTCTAATATTTGTAATTAATAAATTAATTTTTTTACAAATGCTTTATCAATCGAGACCACTTAATCTTTTATTTTTATATATATAATCAATAAATAAATATATTTATATACATTCAATTTTCTTAATAATTATTTCATATTAATTTAATAAGTATTTTTTTTGGTATTATAAAAAATTATTCTTTATAAAATAATGGTATCATGAATATATTTTTTTATCAAAATACTATAACATTTAAATACATACTTATACATATTTTTTTAAATGATCAACCAAATCCTTAAAAATTAAAAAGTATAGTTCAATTAAATATAAATGTATATAATTTATAATTAGATTTTTAATTTATAATAAGTAAAAATTACGAAGAGGTGATATGGTAATTTCAGATAATCGATACAAATAATCACATTTAATAAATACTTATGGGCAGGGGAGTAACTACATTGGGGCAAGAGGGGCTCCAGCCCCGGCTCCCACCCTACTTTTTAATTTTTATTATTTATAGAATTTCTAAATTTTATGTAGTAAAAGATATTAAAATTTTGGTATATAATTTTTTTTTTTGTACTAAAAATTATTTTTTTTATTATAAAAATATCAAAATATTTGGTATGATATAATATTATATTGAGTTTTTTTTAGTATGATAACAATTATATTTTAGTATTCGATATATTGATATATATAAATAATTCAATATATTTATATCAGAATTATTATTTTAATTTTTAGTATTCGAGTATGAAATGATATGTATTGATATTGTACCAAAATTTATATACAGTTTCAATATATAAATTTATCATACTAATTTTTTTGTATATCGAATTTTTGAAATAAATAAATAAAATTAGCGCTTATATTCAAGTTCTGGTTCCGCCGTGCTTTATAGTCTAATAGCATAATATTATGATATATATATATATATATATATGTCTGCATGAAATAATGGCACTAGCTTTGAAAAGTAATTCTCTCACACCAACTAATGGCAATCATGAAAGATGTAAGATGTTCAATTTTTTAGATTATATTAACCAAAACAAATATGTACGTACTGTAAATTAGGATTTTATTCCAGACAAGCTTTTCCATGCACAGATCTAATTCCATTTTCGATGTAACTATATCTCATCACCTATATATTGCATATATAATACTCCCTCCCTCCGTCCACGTACCATGTGCATGTTACCGTTTCTATCTGTCTCACATACCATGTCACTTTCTTTTTTTTTAAAATGATTACACACTTTAATCTCATTTTAAACTTTTTAATTATTTTTTAAATTTTAATTAAACTAATTAGTTATCTTAATCTTAATTTATAATTATTTATATTATCGGATAATTATTTTCACTAATACATTCTTAATTATTTACTAATTATATCCCTCCTAAAATACAGTGTCACGGTATGTGGAACGGAGGTAGTATATTTTAATTTCATCAATACAATCAATGAAACCAAAATCAAGAATTCAAGACATATGGTGTAAATAATATTTAGGGTAAAATATTCTTTTAGTTTCGTAATTAGACCCCTTATCATTTTAGTCTCGTAAGTGGAGTTTGTCGCAAACTAGACTCATAAGTGAAAATTTTTCGTTGTTTTAGTCCTCCGGCACCGGAGACGCCTGCGTGCCTCGCCGGAGGCTACGTGCCCGTCAGGTCAGCGACACCTGGCGGACAAGTTGATTTTATTATTTTATTTTCATTTTCTTTTCAATTTTTTTAAAATTTTATTTACCTTTTTTAATTTTCTTTATTTGATCCAATTGAAAAAAAATTCAAAAAAAATTTAAAATCTACGTGTTCGCCACGTGTTGCTGATCTGACGGGCCACCTGCCGGACACGTGGCTTCCGGCGAGCCACGCGGGCGTCTCCGGCGCCGGAGGACTAAAACAACAAAAAAATTTTACTTATGGGACTAGTTTGCGACAGGCTCCACTTACGGAACTAAAATGACAAGGGGTCCGACTAAATAATAGTTTATCCTGATATTTAATATATATATATATATATAATTATTAACTTATCAAAACTGGTTTATCAATATAAGTAGAAAATTATATTTGAGTTTCGAGTGATATTTTGCATATGAGACTCTCCAAATTGACTATTAATCTAAAAAAGCTAAGAACACAATTTCACATCTTTACTTGATTAAACTTATTTAATTCTAATAATGCTGATTTTATAGTTTCAGCATTGTATTGATCCACTACAGTAGAATAGAATTACACTAATAACATGTTATATTTGATTTCAATCAAATTATTTATGTTAATATAATAAAAATACTAACATATTATAATAATTTAGATAGTACATGTCACTTTATTTTCTATGGAAAAAAAGTTCATATACAATATTAAGTCATACTATATCATAATATTATACAGAATGTATATTCACTCAATACCAACAATATGTTGTGTATAGATTGCAATGGTTGATTAGCTACCAATTAGCATTGTAACCACCCCAATTACTACAATATGCTAATTAACACACAACAATAATACTCCCTCCGTCCCTATCGTGTCCCGTTTACTGTAGACACGAGAATTTATGAGTGATATAATTAGTAAATAATTAAGAATGTATTAGTGAAAATAATTATTGTATAATAAAAATAATTTTAGATTAAGATTCAGATAACCAATTAGTCTAATTAAAATTAAAAAATATATAAATTAAAAATTTTAATACGTGATTAAAGTGTATAATTTTTTCCAAAATAGAAAAATGATAGAAGAAGTGAAATAGACGAAAATGAAAAGATGACAAGATAAGTGGGACGGAGGGAGTAATATATAATCCTAACAAATTTCACACTGATTAGTACGCACATACATATATATATCTATATATGTTTGGTTACGAACAAATCGGAACAACGTGCTGATTTTTTCAAATAGCACTTATCAAAAGTCCAAATACTACAAATTAAAAGTACATCTAGTACATGCTCTGCGAAATAAGATGATGTACTATATGTTTATATTCATAAAAAGTATGTTGTATAGAAGTATATCATGTGTTTTATATGAGTTATGTAATTTTAAGTTTTTACTATATTTGTATTATATTAATATAAATAATATGGACATAGACCAACTGTTAAGTCAGCATGGTCCTGATTTGATCTGATCAATATATGCGCTATAGGGGTGACCGACCTATATTTATATATATATCAGCGTATTTATTTTACAACATATATCATATTGTAATTCAACATATATTATTTTTTATAACAAATCATTTACTGAGATATGTATAAATATATGTTGGTCATCCACATGACATATGTTGATCCGGTCAAATCAGTACCACGCTGACTTGGCCGGATCAACATAGGAATCGCAGCCAAATAATGTACTAGTAGTAACATCATGTGCTTTCTTGTATTTCATGTACGATTTACTACAGCGCTAAATTTTAAATTCAGCCAAGCAACCACCTATATTTATATATATATATATATATAAATATAAACACCCCATTAGTTAATTTTACCCCATCCAATTTGATTTCCTTCACAACAAATTTTCTTTCAAATTCTTCGTACTACTAAAGATATATATAATACCATCTTTCACATGAATAGATCAATTAACATATATCAAGATTAAGATATTCCCAAACCATACATTAAAAGAAAATAAGAAATTTCACCAATTAATGGGAAATTCAAAGAATATCCTTTAAGAAATCACACAGAATAAAAAATCAAAAACTTACAGTCAGATCATCAGTTACAGTGGCAGCTTGTTCACTCAAATGATCCAATGGTGTGAGTGAGTGAGTCTGTCCTAACTTTCTTAATCTTACCACATAAAAAATCCCTAAGAAGAGTGGGTGGAAAGAGTGTCACAATTTCATTGGAAAGATCCAGCAAAGCTGTGTCAGAAAATTTTCTTTTCATGGATGGAAGTGGAAGTGATTTGGGTTTTCTTGGAGTTGGAGGGCACTCAAGTGGGACATCGTCATCCTTATCCACTGCTCTTGGCGTACTGCACCCTCCATCTCCATGGCCATCATCATCTCTTTCTTCAATTCTTACCTTCATCTTCATCTTCATCTTCATCTTCAAGACACCACCCACTGCAGAAGATCCTTTGTTATGAACCTCCTTCACCTCGTCACATTTCTGCAATGTCAATTGGTGTAAATCCTTTTGATCTGGGAGAAGTCTGTCCTCCTCAGAATCCATCTTCTTTGGCAAACCCATGAAGGAAAACTGATTAATCAATTCAATTATGGCTTGAAATCTGTGCACAATAACGGAAAATAGGCAGACAAGAATAGGGTTTTCTGGAATTAGGGTTTTCTTGATGGGTATAAAGATTTTAGGGTTGTGAAAGAATTCTTGGCATGTATATATATATTGATTGATGCAAAAATAAAGGGGGGTTTAGAGAGAGAGAGAGAGAGAGAGAGTGATATGATGCTGGAGATTAAGATCGGGAAGTGTGGTGGGCAATATAATGAGGAGGGAGAGAGAGCATCTTTATTCCACAATGTAATCATCAAACTTGTATAATACTTTCTTTTTTTTACCTTTTTCAATTTTATTTGTTTTCTTGTCCTTTTTTTTCTTCTAGGATTGTTTTGGTTGACTTTTTACCTAAGTGTTGCTTTCATGTGTTTTTTGGTTTCAAATGTGTTGGATGGGTGGGTGGGAGTGGATTTTCAAGTTCTAGATTGAGGGTCTATCATGGCACATTTTGGTGTGGAATCCAAGGCTAATTAAACAAACCCTTGTGAAAAAATTGTCATAAAGACTCTAAAGTGCTAAAAGGGTGTGTTATTTTTGCACTCTTTTTGCTGTGATTCTATACTAACTTTGATGCAGTTGGGGAAAACCCCCTTTTGTGTTGTTTATTTCTATTTTCATATTTTTACCCATTTTTCTTTAATTTAATTTGTAGATTTTATCCAAAACTAATATATCTAATATTAATTCATCTTTTTCCATTTTCACAATCATTATCTCTTCCTCTTTTTTTTTTTTGTGTGTTTATTTTATATTTTTACAATTCTTAATACACATTATTTCCAATAAGAATAAATTATTTATTTTAAAAAATATCTCACCAAACAATTATTTAAAAAACTATCAAACCACCAGATAAATTAACACTAAAACACGTTTACACCCTTACTATTTCACCTTAAAAGAATAAAACAAAAAAGATATATATTAACAGTAAGAAAAATGTTCTTTCTTCATCAAATGACTTGAATGGCAGTGCTTAGTTATTATTTTTTAGGGTAGACAATAGCCAATAAATATATAAATATATAAAATAATAGAATACATTTTAGTGGACTGTATATAGGATGTATTCTCATTCTTATTTCTTCTATTTTTATTTTATTTTATTTTTTTTTAAGTTAGAAAAAGAGTACTGAGATGATGATAAATTTTAATGTAATATATGCAATATTATCTTGGAGGGTTTCAGTTTTTTTTTTTTTTTTTTTTTTTTTTTTTTTTTAAGATTTTTATTCTAAAATTAAAATGGGCGCCAAACCCTTTTTTTTTTTTTGCTTCTTTTTTGTTTTTTTTTTTAAATCAAAATTTTATTTAATATTTATTATAATTAAATGAAAAAAAATATATATACAATATATATGTCAAAATAAAATTTTCTTTAATACAAATAAATAAAAATTTAAATATATATATGTTGGGTATAATATAAATTCATAATCAAATCATACAATATAAATTTTATCAATTAAATTTAATACACTTTATATTATTTTATTCATTATCCATCAAATCAATACACATCAAAACTCCCCAAACTCCAACCAAACTCAAACACAAAAGAAACAACAAAATCGAAACTCATCCCAAAATTCAAATAAAAACCAAATCCAAACCTATCTTTCCCCAAACTCTCCTAAAGAAACATACACTTAATATATAAATGATAAACACACATATATATATATATATATATTGAAGCAAGAAGCAACATAGGATACTGCATCTTGACCTACAGAGTTATATATATATATATATATATATATAAGCACTAAAATGATAGAAAATTCACTCATTTTGACCAACTACATGCAAAAAAGTATCAATTTCACTCTTCAATAATTCAACTAACATCTTCACTGTCATACATCATTTGAGCCATTTTGGCATTTGTAAGTGGACATACAAGTTTCTATATATATATATATATAATTAATCAAGGGAATGTAAAAATAACTCTGCCCAAAGTCAAGGCTTCACAATAATTATGATTCAGAACAGCTTTCAAATCAATATCATGTAAATACAAGTTAATTATAATTGTTTTAGGTCAACCATATATGTATATATATACTTTTTGAAAGTTTGGAAATTTTGAGAAATAATAAAAAGGTGAGTATCTTATGTGATATGTTGAAGCAAATAATCATATATTGGAAGTAGTTATGACAATATTATTATTATTTTTTAAAAAATAACATTATTTACTTTTTACAATTTTTAATAAAAATATAATATTTTCTTTTGTAAAACATCAAATCAAAATATTGTTTAAAAACAAACATTCAAATTAGTACTTAATTTCAAATTAATTTCAAACTGCAACCAAACAAATCCATTATTATTTCCAAATATTATGCTTTCACTATGAAGAAATAACTATTATCAAATCTTGCCGAAACTATCATTTCTTTATTTGTTTTATCTTTTGTATCCGTGCACGAAATTAGATGAAAATTATCGCATGGTTTGTTCGAAATGGTCCAATGACGTTTTTTTTTGTCATATGAGATTGTTTAGAGCTTCTAATCGGTATTTTCATAAATTTTTTGGCGCCTTTTTATTTCAAAATTATTATTTTTTTTTACTTTTAGTTTATTTTGGATTTTAGAGTTTTCGACTTTATATATACCTTTTTTTTTTCTTTTTATTTTGATAATTAGTTTGGATTGAATATAATTATTTATATCTTTGATCGACAATTATTCTATTATTTGATTATCTCGACTTGCCCATCGGAGGCATCAAAGATTTTGTAAAAAAGTAAGTATTTAGTGTTATACTATTTTTTACATATTTAATGTTATATTTCAATTATTCTATTATATTTTTTAACGATATTACAATAAATAAATACTACTAAAACTAATTTTTACATCTATATAGTCTATGTATCCAATTTAGAATGATGGAGAATATATGCATGAGACAGATAGAGAGAGTCTTGAATTTGAAGAAACGAACCCAAGGTGAAAGTTTTAATAATAAGAATAATAATTTATCCGCAATCGGTTGGATTTTTGAGTTAGAAATCGAGTTAAAAGTAATTTATTTAATTAATATTTGATTTATAATATAAAATATATAAAATTAATAAAATAAAAATATGTATTTAATTATTTAATAACTATATTTTAATAAAATATATACAATATAAATATTATTTTGTAGAAAATAAAATTTTATTAATAACACACATAAATAAAAGATATAAATATTATTTATAATTACATATATTAATTTTACAAATAATGAGATGTTTTAAATATATATAAATATATTTATTTACAGAAGAGAGTGATAGAAAAAATAAAATTTGAATCCATTTTTTTTAGTGAGTCAACAAATTTGTAATTTGTTTCGTTACCCTTTCTCAATTGGCACTATACTTCCATTACAAACTACAAATTTTAAATGTGGAAAATTAAAAATACTCTCTTCTTAGTCCATCAATTCTAAATTTATTTTTCTTTTTGATTTATCTAAATAAAAAATATGTACATTCCATTTATAGTAATAATTCTTATGCATTATTTAAGTTATATAATTCAATATTATATTTATTTGCAAAAATATTATAACGATCTACACATTAAATTTATAAAAATTTATCTCACCTCGTTAACTTATTCATATATTTCCTAAAATACTCTTATCTTACGTCACAATTAAAAAATATAATAATATATTAATAAAAACCTGTGTCCAACTCAAACAAGGATAGAACTTAAGAACAAAAGAAGTAATAATGTAAGAATAAAGTTAATATAATTAAATTTTAGAGACCTAAAAACCTAGAGTATGTTTGGTTGTAGTTTTGTGGGAAACTCCACCACAAGAGATCTATTTCTTTTTGAATCTTTTAGAAACAGATATTATGATACTAAAATTAGTAAATAGAATAATTTGACACTTAGATTATTTTTTCAATGACGTAGAAACCTGCAGCCGACACTTTATTATTTTGTGGTTATGACATCTGTGTATAGAATCGTTCTAATATGGAAATCTATAAAATGAATACACCATATTTGTTGATCTAGTTTGGTATCAATACTTATCATATGTATTAAGAAAATAAATGTCCAAAATCAATTAAATATTTTGTATATGGGGAGAAAAATTACGTCCCAACAATATAAATTTGTGATATTTAATTATACATATATATTAATTTTTTTACATTAAATATCAATAATTAATTCAAATTTTCTTAAAAGTAAAAAATATTGTATAAATATGATATAGAGAGAGAGTTACAATAAATTTGACAATAAAATAATAAATCTTGTCGATAAAGGAAATTTGTTGAAGATTGTTGAAGATCCGATGAAAAAATAAATACTCCCTCCGTCCCAAGTAATATGGGACTATTACTGTAGAAACGAGAATTTAGGTAAAGTATAATTAACAATTAATTAATAAGTGTATTAATAAAAATAATTATTGTATAATTAAAATAATTATAGATTAAAATTAAGATAACTAAATAGTTTAATTAAGATTAAAAACAATTATAAAATTTAACATTTAAAATGTGATTAAAATGTATAATCATATTTCCAAAAAATAAAATGACAAATTATGTGGGACGAACGAAAATAGAAAATAGGGATAAATTTTGTCGGACGGATGGAGTAATATATAAATTTTGCTGAAAAATAAAAATATATAATAATCTCGTTAAGAAAAATAGTTGCATTCGATGAAAAATGAAAAATAATAAAATCTTCTCATTGACCAACCAAATGTCTCATGTGGCTTCATTTGAAGACCAAATTGAAATAACCTCTCTTATATAAATAAGGGTTTTGCCAAATCATTTGCCACATTAAAATCAATTCGAAGACTCAAGTGAAGAGGTAAGTTTCTAGAGTCTCTCTATAATATTCTATGTATCTTTCGAAACATTCTTTGTTTCAATTAACTAATTTGGACAAATAATCTAATATTAGTTGAAAAGTTGATGGATTAAAGTTCTTTAAAATATGTTCAAATCGATGGAAAGATCAAATTATCAAATTCATCAAAGAATTCATTAAAGTCAAAGAAAAAGTCTTTCATATTCATGCCAAAGTTTTAAAATGTTCTTCGGGTTTCTTGTGCAAATCAACTACCCGGCTATCTTTAATCCAAAGGTCAAAAAAATACACCT